CTATAATGTACTCTTTCCATCCTAATATTCTAGGATTTTAGCTGAATGAGATATCTGTTCTCTAGATTTATATTATTAGAATATGGCATTGTTCTTTTGTCCAATAAAAGTTGGATTAAATTTTGGATACTCGTGGCACGTTTTTCAAACTGCTAAACACTACGTTTCGTGCGAAAACTTTCTATATGAAAGTTGTTCTAAAATATTATATTAATCTATTTTTTAAATCTGGAATAATTAAAACTCAATTAATCACACGTTATTACAACCTCGTTTTGCGTGAAACACTTTGGGTGTGTTTGAGGAGAAGGGGATTGAGGAGATTGGGAAGATACGCAAAACGAGGTGAGCCATTAGCTCATGATTAATTAAGTATTAACTATTTTAAATTTCAAAAATGGATTAATATGATTTTTAAAGCAACTTTCCTATAGAAATTTTTTATAAAAAATACACCGTTTAGTAGTTTAAAAAGCGTGCGCGTGGAAAACGAGACTCAATCCCCCCTATCTCCCCAGAACTAACAGAGCCTTAATCTTCATTAGACATTCAAACACCACCTATATATCTCATTCAAACATAATCTCTTCTGTTTTGATAGGCCCGCTTTTAGGCCAATAACTTGGCCTAGCCCAAGCCCACCAGACCCAAGCCTAGGTCTAGGCTTCCTAGCTACAAACCATCTTATCATTAGTAAAACCTTCTACCTCCGTCCAAAATATAAAATATAAGAAGTTTTAAAGTTGAACACGGTTAATAAAAAAAATAGATATAATCAAATGGTGAAAAGTTGTTATTGGTTAAGAAGTAAATTTATGTGAGAAAAAAGTAAATAGTGGAGAGTTGCGATTGGTTAGAAAGAGAATGTTACCGAAGAAGTTATATTTTAGGATGGATGAAGAATTAATTATTCTACCTTTTCATCCCAAACTAAATTCCTATACTTAATTAGCTCTTGCTAGTCCAGAGCAAAACGATTTATCCTCCTGACAAAGTGTAGCTAAAACAAAAATGCCCATGTTTGGCACGCCCTAATCAACGAGTTAACATGTGATAGTGCTAGTGCTAGCTTAGCCTTTAAAAGATGATGGGGGCCCCACTCTCACTGTCCCAGTTGAATCGGTAGGTGTACACTCTCGTGTGGTTGGTGAAGAAATATGCTTTGTATCTTTGCGAGGCCAAACAATATATCTGCATTTTTAATGTGAGACCAAATTAAGTGGACTAGCCTCTATTTTTTTTCTTAAGATTATAATTTAGAAGTGGACAAGTACCGGGGAGTTTGGCTGCATGCACCAACCATGAACCGACGGCGACGTTGCCCCCACGACTCCATAAAAAGAGAAAGGGAAAGATGGGCAGCCACCGGCGGGTGGGCGCTTCTCCACCACCAACCCCACAAATTATCGTGGAAATTATCCGTGAAATCGGACTCAATGGCTTAAGAAAAAAAATTATGACGGACGATGAGCCTGGTGTACGTGTGGTGTGGATCGTGTGATCCTACGTGCGCCGTCGGCGTCAATCAATGGCGGCTAGGCTCCGTCCCATAAAAAAACAATCTAATACGGTATGTGACAAATCTTAGTACTGATTAGAAGATTTATGGTATTAAAATGTGTTGCATCTTTTATTGGATTTGTTTTTTTATGGGATGGAGAGAATAGTTGAGCAGCCTTATATATACGTGCCGTGCAATATTTGTTTTCTGTCAAAAACAAACTTGTGCAATGTTTCATATAGACATAAGATACGGGATAAAGTAGAGAAGATATTACTATCTTTGTCCTAAAATATTATAATCTAGAATGAAATTTGATTCATCCTAGGGTTTTGTTTTAGGAGCTTAAGATTCTGAGAAACAACTGGTTAGAAGCTAATTGGTGAGAATTTGGAGAAGCTGAGTTTAGCTTCTGACTTCTAACTAATTTTCTAAGATTTTACAACTGCAGCTTCATAGGAATTGTATGAAAATCTATATTGTTTGAAGGAGTTTCTAGCAGCTAAAGATTCTAGAAAAAACTGTAGTTATCAGAAACTCCCCTAAGCAAATCCTATAATGGACATAAATGACAATGTTTATGTACCATACACATCTCCATGTTTTTTTACGGATCTTAGTTGACATGGCGACAGCTGCGTCGATTCCCGTAAACTTATTTAGTCAAAACATTCCATTAAGATCTTAATCCCGGAGTAAGTGCTAAGCAAGGCTATGCTTGTTTGGTCTTTACACACTTCAAAGAAAGATGTTCTCTCTTTCTTAATTCCTTTGCTCCTACTGCCACTACCTTTTACTACGATACCATTCGCACCTCAACAATTTTGCACATAGTTTAAGTTTATCGATAACTAATAAACCATGTGAGCTGATCAAATAAGCAAGATCATCATGACGGTATCTTCGATGAAGTAGTGTATAAATAATAATTGAACCCCCCAAGTATGTAGTGCTATACTCCCTCTGTACTCATAAAGTAAGTCGTTTAGGACAGCGACACGGTCTCCAAAACACAACTTTAACTTATTGTAAGCTATAATTCAGTACGTGCTCCATTATTATGTGGTTTAATTAGTGTTTTGGTTTAGTGGTAGGTGTTTGATTTGGCAACGATGCGTTAACACGAGTTACATGCAGCTGATTAATGATTAATTGTTGTTTGGGGTGCAGTGGTCGTATGTCACTTTCTGGACATTGAGTTTTTTCTACAGGCTTGGTGTAGGAAAAGAACAATTAATTAATAATACTAGTGGAAACAGCTCGGAGAAATCTGCTGCCATTGCACCTAAACTGCAAGTGGAACTTTGGTGTGGTGACACTGAATTTCGTGCGGTTTGGTCACTGTCACCAAAAGTTTGGTATTCATGCTTGGACTCCTGGTTGGCATAAAGGTCTGTCTTGGACAAAAATATAGTTCAGACACCTCTTGTTTCCTTGAAAATACCCCCTCCTTCCCTAAATGATTAACACCGTTGACTTTTTTAAACATGTTTGACCGTTTGTCTTATTCAAAAACTTCTGTGAAATATGTAAAACTATATATATACATAAAAGTATATTTAACAATGAATCAAATAATAGAAAAAGAATTAATAATTACTTAAATTTTTTGAATAAGACGAATGGTCAAACATGTTTAAAAAAGTCAACGGTGTCAAATATTTAGGGATGGAGGGAGTAGTATAACAACACTTGTCCCAAAATGTTTATCAGTATTATACTCCCTCCATATTCGTAAAGTAAGTCGTTTTGGACAGGGACACAGTCTCCAAAACACAATTTTGACTTCTTATTTCTATAAAAAATATCTATTTAAAAATGATATATGTATACTTTTATGAAAGTATTTTTGAAGACAAATCTATTCATATAATTTTTACATTTTCAAACTCAACAACTTAAGAGTTATTTATGATTTATATTTTCAAGGTTAGACTTAACATTGACCTAAATGACTTTCGTCAATGACTTTCTTTACGAGTACAGAGGGAGTATTTCATTTTGATACCCTCAACAAATGGTTCGCTTTTTCTTTAATGGAATTACAATTGAATTCACATAACCTTCACATACCAAGCACATAAACATAAAAACATGCAGTAATGCACAACTACGCCAACTGACCAACAGCCACCAGAGCATGTAATCGCAAAATCTAGCTTCTTGTCAAAAATGGCTTGGGTACCATGTCTTTTCTTGTTTTTTTTTTAAACACCGTCTTTGTACACATATAAAGATAGAAGATGATTGGTGAGCTCACAAAATAGCATGTTGTCTTTTCCCCGACACATTTGGGTGCTTAGGAAATGAAAACATACCGGCTACATATTATAACTATAATAATTAAGTGCTATAACATTTACAGGAGAGTGGCTGGTCTTATAAGTATGATATTATGCGAGACTATGTGCCAAGTAGACTAAAGCTACAATCAACGACGACATCCCTTCTTAATACACAATAGGATGAATATAATGGTGAAAAAACTACTACAATAAATACTACATTACTCGCACACAACTAGGTTCTCGAGATTGCTCTCCTCTCTGGATTGATGTGTTCGTTTGGCCATTCCTAACCCAAGACACTAAATATAATTTCCAAAAACTTCACATCACCAAGAAACTAGTACTAAGACACAACTTTTCCAATGCAAACATCATTATTCTATACTTAAATTTAATGCTACTTATTTCACATGATGTCTTGGATGTTGTGTAGAAATTCTCTTTCCTCATTTATTCATTTGCTATATCATTTTTTATTCTAGATGGCAATTTATTTAATACTATGGATACCATCTTAGTCATTGGGTTGGGAATGGCCTAAGATCACTCACCATGTCATTAAGCAAGCTCTCTAGGGCTCCGCGTCCCCTGTCTCAGCAAATTTCACTAAATTTAAAAGACTTTTTTGAGTAAAATTCAACTCAAACATATCTGAGTGGCAAGTGCGTGGGTCCGCCATGATCTACACCAACAAGCTCCCCGGTTTGGATCGTGTGTGCATGACGGTGCAGCCGCCGACGCGGCGCGCCGACGCGATCTGAAACCCATCCCCCTCTCTCTCTCTCTGTGTGTCCGAAGGAGATATTTTTCGCATCGAATGGAGCAGCGACAAGTCATGTGAAACAGTGACTGTCCAAACCAGCACGCGTGGATTCTTCAGATCTCGATGTCCTCCTCCTCAGATGGGCCATGATGGGCCGGCCCCCGCAACCAACGGCCCGGATCACCTCTTCCCCCCACCCCCATCACAAAACCCCAAACCCATCACCAACTTCCCAATCTCACCCACCCCACCAATCCCCACCAGATCCAACGGCCCAGATCTCCCCCTCACCCAGATCCAACGCCTCCCCTTCGTCTTCTCCCTCCATAAAACCCCACCTCACCCCCACCCTCCCACTCCGCCTCCTCCTCCTCCTCCCTCCTCTCTACCCACCCACCCTCTCGCCGTCGCAGATCCGATCCAGGAAGAGCTCGCCGCCGCCGCTGCCATGGCGCTCTCCGTGGAGAAGACCTCGTCGGGGAGGGAGTTTCAAGGTGAAGGACCTCTCCCAGGCGGACTTCGGCCGCCTCGAGATCGAGCTCGCCGAGGTCGAGATGCCGGGGCTCATGGCGTGCCGCGCCGAGTTCGGCCCCTCCCAGCCGTTCAAGGGCGCCCGGATCTCCGGGTCCCTCCACATGACCATCCAGACCGCCGTCCTCATCGAGACCCTCACCGCCCTTGGCGCCGAGGTCCGCTGGTGCTCCTGCAACATCTTCTCCACGCAGGACCACGCCGCCGCCGCCATCGCCAGGGACTCCGCCGCCGTGTTCGCCTGGAAGGGGGAGACCCTCGAGGAGTACTGGTGGTGCACCGAGCGCTGCCTCGACTGGGGCGTCGGCGGCGGCCCCGACCTCATCGTCGACGACGGCGGCGACGCCACGCTGCTCATCCACGAGGGCGTCAAGGCCGAGGAGGAGTTCGAGAAGTCAGGCAAGGTCCCCGACCCGGAGTCCACCGACAACGCCGAGTTCAAGATCGTGCTCACCATCATCCGCGACGGCCTCAAGTCCGACCCCAGCAAGTACCGCAAGATGAAGGAGAGGCTCGTCGGAGTCTCCGAGGAGACCACCACCGGTGTCAAGAGGCTCTACCAGATGCAGGAGACCGGCGCCCTCCTCTTCCCCGCCATCAACGTCAACGACTCCGTCACCAAGAGCAAGGTGAAGCATCCCCTCCCTCCCTTTCTAATCCCATTATATTTCAGATCTGAAGCTGTTTGCGTTAGCCTAGCCTGCTGCTTGTACTGTTCTTACCTTAGTACTACTTGATTTTGCCGTTATTATGGATTTGATTATGCTACTACTGTGGATCTGGATCTGGTTTATCTGCTTCGGTTGATTCAGTAGATCTGGTGGGCTATTACGCATAAAAAAAGTTTATGCTATAGGAGTGGTGGTTAGGTGGATTATACATGTGTCTTTAACATTTTAGATTCCTGATGTTTGTGGCATGTTGAATATGGATCTGTCATCTAGATCTCCTTTTGTGACACAAACTAAAAAGACAGGGTTAAAAAGGTTTAGTTGATTTTACCTAAGCAACACTAACAATTGGGGGAAATTTGCACCTGATGTAGTGCGCGAATTTTGCTTTTCGTGATCGTTTGGTTGCTTGATTTAGACGGGATGCTTGTAGTTCCTTTATTTAGTGTCTCCTGTGTTATAGGAGTAGGAGCGTCGAATTTAAGTCTTAGGTTACTGCGGTTGGATCTAAATCTTGGTCTAATTGTTGCGTAGCTGTCAAAGATGTCTAGTTTTGTTGTTAGCTTGCATGTTTTGCGGATCTGATGACAGAATATGGAATAAAATATTGGTACCAAACTGCTTGCCATTTGTTTTATTTTACTCGTTATTGTGCACTTGTGTAGCTTGATTGTTTAATGGCATTTTACTGGACTCCTTAGTACACCCTTCATCTGTAGTGAAATATTACTGAATGCTGGGAATTACAATCTGTTATATTTTGCAATGATTTTATCATTTTTGCTTGAGATATATTAACTCTGTGTTTCTTCTGAACAGTTTGACAACCTGTATGGTTGCCGCCACTCTCTCCCTGATGGTCTCATGAGGGCTACCGATGTTATGATCGCTGGCAAGGTTGCCGTGGTCTGCGGTTATGGTGATGTTGGCAAGGGCTGTGCTGCTGCTCTCAAGCAGGCTGGTGCCCGTGTCATTGTTACTGAGATTGACCCCATCTGTGCCCTCCAGGCCCTTATGGAGGGTCTCCAGGTCCTCACCTTGGAGGATGTTGTCTCGGAGGCTGACATCTTTGTGACCACCACTGGCAACAAGGACATCATAATGGTTGACCACATGAGGAAGATGAAGAACAATGCCATCGTTTGCAACATTGGTCACTTTGACAATGAGATTGACATGCTCGGCCTTGAGACCTACCCTGGTGTCAAGCGCATCACCATCAAGCCTCAGACCGACCGCTGGGTCTTCCCTGAGACCAACACTGGCATCATTGTCCTTGCTGAGGGTCGTCTCATGAACCTTGGGTGCGCTACTGGCCACCCCAGTTTTGTCATGTCCTGCTCATTCACTAACCAGGTAAAATATGATGACCAGTATCTATTGTCTCACTAAACATGCTGAGTATAGCTGTAAGTTACATGATTGAATCAATTCTGTGCTTGTTGCAGGTCATTGCTCAGCTTGAGCTGTGGAAGGAGAAGAGCACTGGCAAGTACGAGAAGAAGGTGTACGTTCTTCCCAAGCACCTCGACGAGAAGGTGGCCGCCCTCCACTTGGGCAAGCTTGGTGCCAGGCTGACCAAGCTCTCCAAGTCGCAGGCTGACTACATCAGCGTTCCAGTTGAGGGTCCCTACAAGCCCGCGCACTACCGGTACTAGGCTGCCCAGCACGACTAGCGGCTGTGGCATGAGAAGTGTCAACTTGAAGTTCGCCATGACGACTCTGGAGTATCCTGCTTTGTTTTCATCATCTTATATGCCGTCACTTAGGAGGATTTGTTGTGGGGTTTATGGTTTGAGACTGGTGAAGGGGAGGAATGGGAAGCCGTTTGCTTTTGCCCAGAAATAATGGCGTAATTGGGTGGAGTTGGGGAGGTGTGCTTTGGCAGATACAGTTTTGTCTTGTTGACTCTACTTATCTGATATCATTTGCAAGCGTTTTGATAAAAATCATGCGTCATTTATGAATAATATTCTTGCCTTTAAAGATAGTTTTGCTCGTTGTGCTGGATTGTATGCCTGTTTCGTTGGTTTGTTATGTGTTGCTAGTCTCATTTGCTCGTGGTAGAGCTGGTGCTTCACTTCCCATTGGGAGTGTGTTTTGCATTTGCTTAGTGTGCTATTATTTGGTACTAGTACATTAAATAAGCTTATCAGAATCAGGGGTGCAAGTTCGATACTTATGCGAATTCGTATTGTCCGGTATAAGAAGATAGAAACTGAATTCGTATTCGACTCAAATCCTGTCAAAGTAAATTGAAACGATAAGAGTTTTGATATTTGACTTAAGAATAATATCCTTATTCTTTATAATTGAGCATCCTAATCAAATTCGAAAAGGCAATTCAATCTATATGCCCGTTTGATTTTTGGGTTAATTTGATCTGTGCCATTGATCAAATTAACCCTTGATTTTTAGACATGGCTCTCCTATCTGCCACTTTACCTCTCTCGTCGGTCTCTCTCGAGTTCTAAGTGAGTGTCCATTTTTCTCCTACTCTCTCCGGGCGTGCGTGGTTTCGGCTCTTGTTGTCTTTGTTGAGCTTGACTGTGGAGGCTATCGTTGTAAAGTTTGCGAGAATGCTTTTCATCGGGCGTCCGGGCCGACGCAAGAAATCGGACGGTAGTAACGGTGTCTCTTCACCCGAGACAACAGAAGTCCTCGCGTGCATGCAGGGAGCTAGTGCACGTAAGCACACGTCAAGTGCATGCATCCATGCATATTCAAATATTCAAAATTTAAATACATGTTTCTCTACAATCATTTATCCAACCTACTATTTAATTATACCATTAGATTCGTTATAATTAAATATTTATATAATGATCTTACATGGTTATATCAGATAGCGGCTGGCGCGGTAGGCGGCGAGCGGGGGCGAACGGGCAGATAGCACGCGGGGGCGGACGATGGGCGGCGGCAGCGGGGGTGGACGGGCGGCGGCCCGTGGCTCGTGGAGAGCAGCTCGTTTGCCGTCGGCATGAACGCGCGGCTTGTCTCCGGTTACATGGCGCAGCTCGTGGAAGATGGCGACGACGACAAGGTCGTTGGCCGTGACCACCAGGGTGGTCGGCGTAGACGGCGGCACACTTAGTGGCACGCACGGCAGCAGCCAGGCCTCCAGCCGCCGCCTCCGCCACCGGTCACCCTACCATCCCGAGCCCTACCTCCAGCTGCATCCGCCACCGGCCGCCGCCCCCATCCCGAGCCCCGTCTCCAGCCTCCTCCGCCACCAGCCGCCGCCCCCATCCCGCGCGCCATCCCGACGGCGAAGAAGACCGGACTGCGGCGCCGAACGCCTACCTGCCGCCGTCTGCGCCGCTGCGCCGTGCGTGCTGCCCTGCCTGCCGCCGCCCACCGCCACCCCCATCCTGACGGTGAAGAAGAAGACCGGACCATCCTCTCTGTGTCCCGCGCCTCCATTGCTCCCTCCCGGAGGAGTTCAACGTCGCTGCCTCTGCGTCCCGCGCGGTCGCCGCCTCCGTATCCCGCGCCATCGCTGCTTCCTCCTGGACTGCGGTGCCTAACGCCTGCCTCGCCGACCACCCACGCCCACTGCCCGTCCCCACACCGCCGTGCGCGCTACGAGAGAGGAATAGCTAGAGAGAGGAAGAGCGATAGATAGAAGAAGAGAGGGGAAGAGGGGTATGACATGTGGGTCCCATATTTTTTAATAAATAAAATACTAACTGGATTGCCACACGTATGCTATGTAGGACAAAATCGCTCTGGATTGGGTCGAGAGGGGTAATTTGTTCGGTATTAAAAGTTCAGGGTGAACGATGACTGGTTTTCGGGTTTAGGGGGTAATGGCAAGGAAGTTGCTAGATATCCCATGATCCCAAGGCCACATGCTTAGGAACCTATCAGTCTGTCACACCAATGGCACCTTTTCATTTTTAACCCTATAAATATTTCTCTTTAGATGTATAGGTTTAGAGATTGAGTTTTCCATACTAGTAACTTTTTATATACTTTATCTATAATAAAAACCACATATACATGAAACACCTTGGAAGTTTCAAGTCTTACTATTGAAATTGTATTCTTTACTAATTTTCTTTACCATTGTATAAAGTACACTCAATCTCCAGTTTTGTTTAGCATACAAGTTAAACCATCTCAGTTTTTTTTTTTGCAGTGAACACATATTCTAAACTAAATTATTATAAATTTAGTTTAACTAAAATAAAATAAAATAAAATAAACATTAGCAAATTTACAAGGTAATTAACTAAACATAGCCTACCATTTTCACCTTACCAAAATGATAAAGTCGAATTGCACATAATAGTTATGGCTATCAGGCATCCTACCATTGATTATTATTGTTGTAATGATAAAACAAATCACAACAAAATAAATAACATTTACATATTTTTTTAGTAAAGCGAATGGTCAAACATCATATTCAACTGTATCATCTATTAAAAATAGATAGAGTATATTTTTTTATTACGAATAATATGTGAAGACATTCGGTATAGAGGAAGGTTAAAGTCGTGCATTCGCACGACTATATACACTAGTCTTCTATTGAATACATTGTTCTTCGAGGCACATCAGGTAGTGGTCAAGAAAAAAGCTTTTGGACATGATGTTCAATCATCCATCCTATTCAGAGTTCCACGAAAAATCACCTTGTCCTATGGAAAAGGTGAGCCTAATGAAATTTGCATTTAGATAAATCCATGCTCCTATTATTATGAGTGTAATATATGGTCAATCATTAAAGTTGAACGATGGTGTCACTTAGAATCCGCGAATTTGCAAAATACACATTCAGGTCTATATTATTGGTTTAATGTAGCACAATAGGTCCATTTGTCGTTTGGCCTTGTTAGTTTGTTGATGCGGCTCTCCATTTTGGCACCAAATTTGTGTTCGTCCCCTCTGCAGCATAGCGTGACGCGAAAATTGCATTTAACCCCTTTTCGCTACAGGGATACCCCAAAAGCCACCAAATTCCTCTCCTCCCTCGCCTTCTCCCCCAAACACGATGATTCGTGGTGGAACGGGAAATCATCAACAATGCAGAGTGCTTCAGGCGGTGGTTCGAGCTGCACCATAGGTGACGTGTGGTGGGGCTCTATCATCGGCACGGCGATGAGCGATGGACCTCAACTTCATGGGGAAGGTTAACCGATGCGTTTGTATCATGAGTACTGCCCACCTATTTCTTGTACTCCAGCATTCATCTAGATGAATTTTAGTAATTAACTTTGGTTCTTTATGCAATGCAACATGATCTTGGTTAAGTAGTTGGGGTTTGATCTAGGGTTTAGTTTGTTGTTGATTTGTTTGGTTTTATTTTCCATCTGTTTGCCCTGGTTCAAATTATTTCTCAATTGAGTTTCATTACACAAATTTCTCTGTGGTATGTGAGTAAATTTGTCGATTATATGGAGTACTATTGGAGTCTAATTTTCCTTAGGCGTGTATGTTCAAAGGTACTTCCTCCGTTTCATATTATAAGACTTTCTAGCATTGCCCACATTCATGTATATGTTAATGAATCTAGACATATATGTGTGCCTAGATTTATTAACATCTATATAAATGTGGGTAATGCTAGAAAGTCTTATAACCTGAGGAGGTAGTATGATGGAATTTCGATTCTTTTTCAATTGCACAGTTAACGGTAGCAATGATGTTTTATCTTTCTTTTTTCTCTCTTTCATGTCAGCAAATATTCTTTATTGGTTAATTAATTTACTGGATGATGTGTAGCACTGAAAGAACACAACATAACGGTAATTCTAATGATCGGTAGTACAGTTTTGTTGGTAACTTTTTGTGACAAGTCGACAAGCACGATCACAACACCTAAACGCCTTGCGGTGATATGGAGTCGCCAACCACCTCGATCTAGCCAAACGGCCAAATCAAGATGGGTTTCGTAGAAAAACAGTTAAACCGGCTAGCGGAGCCGATTTAGAGATCAAAATCAGCTTCTAGGCCGATTTAGATCGATATGAGGATAACTACCCGTCTCGTGGGCAAAACGGAAGGTTTTCAGGACAAACCTACAGAGAGGCGTCGCACTCTCGCAGCGGCGGCGGACAATTTACAGCGCAAATCGACGAAGATGGACTAAAACTAGGGTAAAATAGAAAACATGGTAAAAGAACGATTTAAGTAGATTGTATTCGGGGTTTTACAATGAACCGGCCTTATCCCTTAAATAGGGGTTGGTCTTGCCTTCTCCACATCCAACTCGGGATAGAAACTAAAGAAAACATGAAACATGCCTTCCTGAGTAAGGAAACTCGAGACCTGACGAAATCGGACTCGGACCTTGACGGTCTAACCGCCCACATACCTGCGGTCAGACCGGCCCTACTAGCCGGTCAGACCGCCCACATACCTGCGGTCTGACCGGCCCTTTGAAGGAAACCCGACACTTTCTAAATTTTGATAATTTTCCCCTATTTTGTCCATAGGTGCTAAATTTGGGTGTAAACACTGTTGATTTGTTTCCGTTGTTATCTCCTGAACATCCTCGAACAAACGGGGTTAAACAACACTTGTCTCTTTCCATTTAATCATATATAGTTGCCTAATAATCTGAGGCTTTCTAATTTCTGTTTAGATCTCAAGCGGTTTTATCTGCATGGGTGTCTCACCAAAGACCAAACAATTTCAGATCTGCATGTTTATATGAGATCTCTGTTTATATTGGTGTGCACCAGCTTAATTTGGCCCAGATAAGAAAGCTGAAACCGAATCCAACAGGGTCTCTTTTAAGTTGTAAAAAAAATGAAGAAAAACAGGGACTCTTTTTTGAGTTGGACTCTACTTGGCCCAACTTACTTTGCATAGATAATTTCCTTTCTTTCCTAGGGGCCTATAGTTTTTGCCTGAATTGGACTCTACTTGGGCCCAATCTATATTCTCTTGTGGCATAGATCTTGTTTGGCCTATAAATATTCCAAGACCTATTGCTTATCCTTCCAGATTCTCTGCCATAGAAATTAGAGGTGTTAAGCT